TTGGTCAGTATTTGGATGGGAGACCACTGGGAATCCTAGAGCTGTAGACTAAACTAGGAAGTTGAAAAAGGCAAGGCAACCCCCTGTGGCTGTCGAGAAAACTATATGGAGGTGACCATGAAGTCACCAGGAGTCCACCCTGCCTTGGAGGAGTCTTTGCCTTCATTGTGTGAGCCCAGGAAATGGATTAATTTGTTAAGTGTGTAGAGCCCAGACAGCTGCCCCACAGCTGGTTGGAGTCTAGCTCCCATCCCACCTTATAAGATGGACTAAGGCAAACCCAATCATAGCAGTGGGTATGGTGTGGGGAGGGGGGAGACCGGGTGCCGGCAATGTAGGCCAGAGCAGATAAACAAGGTAAGCCTGCAGAAACAGCTGCTCTCGGTGCATTTTTAGGCCAGTTCACAAGGCCATCTTGCTCCCACATGGAGAGGAGTGATAATCTCAAGGCTCTGGCTGTTTTTGATCTTTGGGGGGTGGGGAAGACCCCAGAGGAGAAGGGAAGTGGTACGTGTGAGAAGAGCCCCCTCCCACACAGGCAACCTCTGATTGCTTGGGGGAGAGAGACAAACACATTCCTCACCCCCCTCAACCTCCCTTCTCTGCCCCCTTGCAAACTTTTTAGCCCTTTCGTGCACCTAGGAATATCCTTGTCTTTGGAAGGAAAGCTCCATCTTCCTGCCTCCCTCTGATAGACTGCCAGAGGTTCTCACATCTGCCTACTCAGGAGTCAGTTCTGGTTGCTTTCATGGGGCTAGTCCCCACGGAAAGAATGGGTTAGTCGAAATGCAGCTTGAATAGTTTTAACAATTGTTGTAAAGATTGTGCCAGGCTCCTGCAAAGAGGTTTTAATATACTAAGGCAATGTTTCTCAACCTCAGCAACTTTAAGATGGGTGGACTTCAACTCCCAGAATTCCAGGAATACCCGGAATTCTGGGAGTTGAAGTCCACCCATCTTAAAGTTGCCGAGGTTGAGGAACACTGTACTAAGGGCTTCTTTTATCCCCCGAGCCTTCAATAGACTTAATGATATCAAGTGTTTCAATTGTAGCAATCTGATCCCCATCTTATGTCCTAATAGGGAACCTGTTTCTCCGCGTGCCTGCCCAAATGGCACCATTCATCCATCACAGGGGTGTAGCTTTGAGGGAATACCAACATTTGCAACACCAAAAGCATTCCCTCCCTCTCCCCCTGCCCGCCCCCACCCCGCCACATAAGGTTGCAAAACCGCATGATGGCTGGCTTTTCACAACGCTAAATGGGAGGTGAGAAAGGTTTGATTCCATGAGTTGGGGGCACCCTTGTTTTCGCACAATGTATCAACCAGGCTGTTAGGAAAAGCCATAATATAATTGATGAGTCTGAGCCTAGCGTGAAGTGTGAATGCAGCACTTCGGTTTTATTAACTTGGGTTTAGGATGTTGCGTGAACCCAGCCGTCATGGAAGAGGACGCAAAGACGGTCTTCTCCCTAATGGTAGGCACAACATCCTGCAGAATAAGCTCTGATTAGTTTAAGACGCATTCCTCTTCCAGGAAAGTATCACCACCAGCACGCACCCTGCAATTGCCCTTCATTGGTTGCCCTGCCCCTCGGCAGATCGGCACGGTTTCCAAAGATTTGCTGCTGCATTTGAAGTTCGTGTCCTGCCCCAGATCTCAAGGGCCCAGAGGTGGAGAAGGCCACCCTCAGCCCACTGACCTCCAAGATGTGTTGGAGGATGCCCCCCAGCATCCCCAACCAGCCTGTTCAGAGTGATCAGATTGGTAGTCCAACCCACGCAGCCATCACCAATTTGGGTGGTGGTGGGGCTGCTCTCTTGTAAATACATAATGTTATAACAAGGGGGCTTTAACTAAAAGTGCCCTCAAAGTTTCACAAATCGAAAGAGAGGTTCAGAAAGATCCAGCTGTTCTTGATGGCTGTGGCTAGTTGGATGGTCCAGTGTATTTCAGGTGTCTGCTCACCAACATCTTGACTTCCGCATGGAGAATTCAGAATGACCTCCTTCTGACATCAGCCGGGGCTGAAATTACTGTGTTGCTTCCAGGCCTCCAGAAGAAAATGGCCTTGCTTTTCTGGATTGTGTGAGCTTTGAAAGGGGCAGGGGGTATCTTTTGAACATGAAACACTGTGGAGATAAATGCCTTGGGACTGTCCTCTATCCATGGTTCCTTTTTGGGCAGGGGCTGGCTTAGGCTCCCATTCACCCATCAACTTCCAAGTACATCAATCCCCCCTCATTGATTTGAGAATAATTTGCATTAAAAAATGGGTTCCCTGAATGCTGTGCTCACAAATAAATGCCAAAAAGTTCCAGATGCACCCAGAACGGTTGTGTTCACAAAACGTTTGGTTCCTGACTGGTTGGGTTCCTTCTTCTGCTTTCAAACAATATCTTGAACAGTAATCGATATGGCGGAGTTCCCACAACAAGGTGCACTGCATCAGAGCTAACCAGGCATAACATAACCAAGTTATATCTTTAACTAACTTGGTTAAGCATGCTGTGTGAACTTACAGCTTTTCCACGAGCATCCTGTGCCATGTGCCTAGAGGAGTGTTTCTCAACCTGGGCCCCTTTAAGATGTGTGGACTTCAACTCCCAGAATTCATGGCTGGCTGGGGAATTCTGGGAGTTGAAGTCCACACATCTTAAAGGGGCCCAGGTTGAAAAACACTGAAATAGGAGATGGACGTGTTATGTACGCCACCCGGCGTTAAATAAAGGCAGGATGTAAATAAATCAAGAAGGAATCAAAATGCAACACAGAAGCCAGACAGTGAAAACTTGAATTCAGTGGAGGATGGAAAGTACTCTCTTTCATGTGTAGCCAGAAGACACAGGTGGCGGTTGTGATAGTCGCCGGCTGGGGTAGGTGGAGGATCACATTAGGCCTCCATGCCCACCGGAAATAGTGGGCGGCTTGTGCTCGTGGGGTGTTTTTAGTTCCATCCCTAACTGCAGCAATAGGCAACTCTGTGTGTGTGTGTGTGTGTGTGTGTGTGTGTTTTTTCCCCCTTAGCTGGTGTTCTTAAAAGGCTATGTTGTTCTTGCCAACCTTTAGGAAAGTCAGTGTTGTTTGGCAGGAGATGAAGATGCTGACAGGCAAGACAGCCTTTTGGGGAGAGGAGAGGGGCAACACTCCCCTCCCATCACTTAACCCCCAGATCCTCTCACGCCTGCTTCCAGCGCATGACCCATCATCATTCTCTTACTCCTACTCTGCTTTCCATTCTCTCATTTCCATGATCTTCCTCTTTCCCCCCACTTCATTTTGCCAGGTAGCATCATGGGGGTCACGGGCATTTTTGATTCTTTCTATTCTTTAATTCTCTCTGCTCCCCACCCACCCCGCCCTGCAATCATTGCACCACCAAAAAAGTTTTCGACGATACCCAGCATCTTCATGTTCCAAAGTGGTTGCTGGAGTCCTCAGAAGAAAAATAGACAGGCGTGGCATTGAATTTGCGGGGCGGGAGGGACTTCCAAACTACACAACCCTTGACAAAAGTCCCAGATCCAGCCAGAGCAACAGGGCCAACTGTGTCTGGCTCCTTGAAGTTGGATTTTGTGGCTGCCAGGAGACTCATTCCCAACAATAATCAGGAAAAGAAAAATGCATTCTCTATATAAGATACTGTATGGAGCCAACCTATCAGCACCCAGAATGTTTTTTAAAGGGATTTCAGTCACTAGCCAGACTTTGCCCCATTTGCACCTCTTTGCATTTCAGAAGAATTCTACATTATGAACATCCAAGGAGCCTGTTGAATCCAGTTACTTAACCCTCCCAAATTCTCAAGAAGATGGTTCCCTCTCTGAACCTTGTGGCTGACAGATTCTGGGAGTCGTAGTCCCAACACATCTGGAGGCAGGGCTGCCAGGTGGGGGGTGGCAGGAGCAACCTTTTTGGCTGAAGCATGTTTCTTGGGGGGCTACCACGTTTCACAGCTCCTATCTGATCCTCCAAAGTAGAGTCTGGGATTGTCAACATGAGAACTTTAGAAACTCAAGCTGTGCAGGTCCTAACTCTCCATTGTGAAATCCAAATGCCTGTACTAGAAATGCAAGCAACCGAAAGCACGTACTATGGGAGATGTCAAATGGTAGAATGTGGGAGATGTTGTGAGTAAGAGCTCCAGTGGGAGGGTTAATTAAATGAAGGTGGGGACCCAAGTCTCAGGAGAATAATGGGAGGTGGTTCTGTTTGTCAGAAACCGTCTAAATACAGGCAGAGAGCAGATGGAGGAGGCCAAGGAAGGGGAGGGAATGGTGCAAGGGAGGGTGTGCAATGAGATTGTGGAGGGCTTTGAAGGACACAGCAAGGAGCGTTCTGCAGTGGGTAGCAAACTCCCGCAAACGCTCCCGAATAAACACTCAGAGTTGGAAAGTCCCTGGTCTGTCTGACAATCAGACTAAAGGAATTGTTGGGTATGTTTGAAAAGCAAGAATTACAGAACGTAACTTTTTAGAATTGCCTTTTGCAGTTTTCCCTGCAATTCCATTCTCGTGTATTTCTTTGAAAAGACCAGGGTAGAGACATTGAATGTCAAGAAAGCAAATTAATATTAATTTTCCTCCACAGCTCTTTTGGCATCATGAGCATTCTGGGTTCCAAAACGCCAGGGGCCTCATTCCAAAGAATAGGTGAAGGCAAAAGAACAGCTCCAGTTGATTTGATTTAAATTGCATTAATTGTAGTTACCATGATTATTTGTGTATTTCATAATGTTCCCCTTCTCTAACCTTAAATATTATGATTTAATACCAAAGGCTGGAGTGACTCCAGGAACCACAGCCGTGGGTCTTGGTAGTGGCCCTGGGCGCCAGGCTGTGCTCGTTGCGCTAAATGGGCTGGTTGAATTATGGGGAAAGAGCTGGATGGAGACTCCTCCATTCAGGTCTTTGGGAAGATTTCTCCATTAGCCAAGCGGCAGCTTTTGTGGGTAAACGTAAACATGCCTTATATCTATGTTTATGTATCTTTCTAGGGTTGCGCAAGAGAATATGGCCAATGGCATTGAAGACCTCATTGGGATCCCCTTCCCAAACCACAGCAGTGAAGTCCTTTGTGGGCTGAATGAACAGCGGCATGATGGCCTTCTTTGTGATGTGATTCTCATTGTCCAAGATCAAGAATACCGAACCCACAAGTCTGTGCTGGCTGCTTGTAGCCAGTATTTTAAAAAACTCTTCACTACCGGCACTTTAGCAGACCAGCCCTACATTTATGAGATCGACTTTGTCAAACCTGAAGCACTTTCAGCAATTCTTGAGTTTGCCTACACCTCGACCCTTACCATCACCACTGCGAATGTCAAGCACATCCTCAACGCGGCAAAGATGCTGGAGATCCAGTGTGTGATTAATGTCTGCCTCGAAATAATGGAGCCTGGGGAAGAGGAAGAAGATGAGAAGGAAGAGGAAGAGGAAGAAGAGGAGGAGGAGGAAGAGGAGGAAGAGGAGGAAGAAGCAGCAGGTGACTTTGGGAACCAGAATCCATCAGATGCTCAAGATCTCAGTTGTCACCAAAGTCCTTCCAAGTCAGACCTTCCTGAGGAACCTTTCCAAGAGACAACTGATGTTTTCCCCACCCGTTTCCCACCCAGCAGCTCTAACAGCTCACTAGGTGTAATACGAGACTTCTCCATTGAATCCCTCTTGAGGGAGAACCTGTACCCTAAAGTGACCCTTCCAGAACGGAGGCCGGTTCTGTCTCCCTTCATGCCTGACCTCTTCCCCCATCTATGGAACGGAGACTTTGGCCCCTTTGCCCAAGTAGAAGAGCAGCAGGTGGACAACACACCCTTGGACCTGGTGATCAAAAAGCAAAAAATCAAGGAAGAGGAGAAAGATGAACCCTTGCCCACCCCTTTTCCAAACAGCCTCTTCAAGGATGTGTTTGCAAACACTTCAGCAGCCCCCTTTGGGCACATTAAGGCTGAAAATGATTACAGTGCTTACCTGAACTTCCTGAGCACCGCCCACTTTGGCAGAGTCTTCCCTCACTGGCCAGAAGAAAGGAAGATCAAACCCAAAGCTTCCCAGCAGTGCCCAATTTGCAACAAAATCATCATGGGGGCTGGGAAACTACCACGGCACATGAGGACCCACACAGGAGAGAAGCCATATATGTGTAATATCTGTGAAGTCCGGTTCACCAGGTCTGCATAATTTTAAAATTGTGGTAGATGTGCTAAGAGATTTATGGGGTGTTTCTTTCTGTATTGTACAAGGGTAGAGGTGGTCACATTTGTTACGTTGAGAAAGTGTCATGGCCATCCATAGCAGGAGAAAGTGTCCTGCATCCATTGTTAGTTGATGGAATGAATGCTGTCGTGAGTGTGCTCCATCCAAAACCCAGCCTTTTATCAGAAGAGGAAACTATTGAGGATTCATCCTGCTACCTTCTCTGGTGCTAATGCCAGAACTTACATTAGTAAGTACTGAGTAGGGCCCAAACTACTCTCCATATCCCACAGTGCAGTTATGTGCTATCAGTGTGATTCTGAGCATCACATTTCCAAAAGGATATTGAAGGTTAGAAGAAGTCCAGAGGACAGCTGCAAAGATGATGCAGGGACCTGAGGACCTGCTCTCTGAAGGAACTTGGGAAGTTCATTCTAGAGAAAAGAAGACCAGGGGGAGACATGACAGCCATGTTCAGGTTCATAGAAGTTATGGAGAAGGTGGTCAACAACCATTTCCCATAACCACAGAAACTAAGACCAGAAATAACAGGTATAACATGCAGCTATCTGCATTTCCTTTAAATGTAAGGGAAGACTTCTTAAAGGTTAAATGTGTGTAACAGTGGAATAATCTATCTATGGAGATGGTGGATTCTCTGTTTTGGCAGGTTTTTAGGAAGAGGTTGGAGAGCCACCTTTCAAGGATGTTTTACTTGGTTTTCCTGCACACTTCAGAAGGTTGGACTAGATCAGGGTTTCTCAACCTTGGCAACTTTAGACATGTGGACTTCAGCTCCCAGAATTGCCCAGCCAGCATATGCTGGCTGGGCAATTCTGGGAGTTGAAGTCCACACATCTTAAAGTTGCCACAGTTGAGGAACCCTGGACTGGATGGTTCTTGTGTTCCTTCTACCTCCACAGTTCTATGATTCTATGCTCATATATTCTAGGATTACCTACCACGTCCATTTGGGAGACTTAGCTTTTCAACATGCCAGCTTCACATTTCTAAAAATTAAAATAATAGTTACCACCACCACCCAAAAAATTTAAAAGACCTTAAAGGCCAAGTAAGATAGATAATTTATTAGGCATCAAGAGGAGTATCCATGGCATGTTAGTTCTGATGGATATCACCTTCTTTTCCCCACTGTTGAGACCAACCAGGACATCTTTTCTGTTCAATATTATGTGCCAGTCAGAGTATTACTAAATGAGTAGACATTCCTCATTAGCCAGTTATATTTGTCTGTAAGCAAAGATCTGGAGATTTGGTTCTTCAGCCCAATTTAATTCTGAAATACAAAGGATTATCAAGGGGTGCCTCCAGGAGCCCAGAGCCAAAAGGGGAGCAAATTTCACCCATGGAAGCCCTTGTAGGTAATAGGGCTGTGCAGTGAGATCCAGATTGGCAGGAGAAAAGGGGATCCAGAGCACATGTGGGCATGCACTTAGCAGCTGTTGGCATCTCCTTAAATCAAACAGATCTTTTCTTGGGATCCTATGGCTCCTGCCACGTAAGCCCAGGAAAAGCCTCAGCTTCTTTAAGCAGTTGCTGAGAAGGGCTAAGTGAGGGTTCCACATCATCCAAAGGACATTTCCCCCTTTGAATCTGGATCTTGTTGCACCCTCCCAGTGAGTCCTGTCTTGCAAGTAGAAGATCTAAGCATCATAGAATCAGAAGGGATCATAGAACTCAGCCAAGGCCAACTCCCATTCAGTGCAGGATCCTCTGCCGCATCTCTGGCTGATGACTCTGCAGTCTCTATTGCAAGATTTGCAGCAAAGGAGAACCCACCCCTTCACGTGGCAGTCTGTCCCACTGGCTGATACAATTAGGAAGTTCTTCCTGACTTCTAGAACCTCCTGAACCTCCTTCTCGGTCTTTTTGATTCCCTGATTCTGATTCTGCCCTCTGGGGCCACCATGAATACCACTGCTATATTGTTGTTGTTCAGTCATTAAGCCGTGTCCGACTCTTCATGGCCCCATGAACTGTATCATGCCAGGCCTTTCTGTCCTTCACTGCCTCCCTGAGTTTGCTCAGTTTCACGCTCATTGCTTCT